CCTTGAGACTGTGATCGTTGACTGTTACCTACTCTACAGGATGGCATGGAGTAAGATTCAGAGGGTTTCATGTGTGCTGTAAAACACTGACTTCAGTGAGCTTCACTGAGAACGAAACAACAAATCACATAGATCCAGAGACTCAATCGGGAGTTATTACCCAAAACTTCATCATATGTATGGGGTGTTTCATTTATTTCAAACCTACTCCATCTTTCAACAGAATATTCAAAGGGGGTTGCTTATAGCTCAGCTGGGGGAGGTGAGGGTGGACTGCCTTTTCTGCAAATGTTGAGAACAGAGAGCTGTTACTTTTGAGAGATGTTGCTCCTCCTTTAAGTGTATGACATAGCTGTGAGGAAGTACATCTCTTAGAAAAACATTTCTCCAACTAGTTTTCCTTACCAAGGTCAAGTCAATGATATTCTGGTAAGCAATTTGGTCAAAATTCACTTCAAGTCTTTTCTTCGAAATCACTTTTCACTTAGGGCAGATATGGGGAGACACAATAATTGCCAGTGAAAATGATTACCCATCGTTCACTGGAAAAAAAGACAACTTTGTAAGCCAGAGTCTGCAGGACCTTGTTCTTAAAGCCCCAGTTATCTATCTTCTCCACCCCCTCCTTCCTCATTCCCTGTGTGTGAAGAAAAGCACCAGGAGAGACTTTTATGTTCTTTTTCTTCTTTTAATTTGTTCAGCATTGAAGGAGGGAAGGTCATAAACATTGATTGTCATTTACAGGAAACATTCAGAAATCATGTGTGCATTATCTGGAATGCTAACAGTATTCAACTAATAATTTACAGGACATAAAATAAGGACAAAACCCCATTACATTCTAAAGTAATATAAAACTCTCTTTAGTTGTTAGGGAGTGCTGCTTTAATCTATTATATTTATAATTAAAAAATTCAATGCTTACTTCCTAAATGACTCAGGCTGCAGTTTTTACTCACATACACAGAAATTAGGGCTTATATATTAAACAAGGGCAGAGAGAGAGAGGGAGAGAGAGAGAGAGAGAGAGAGAGAGAGAGAAATCAGAAAATTGTAGATTCAAAAACTACATATATCACTGGGTTTATTTGTACTTTGCCTTTTGCCTCTACAGGCTGGTAAGAGTATATGGTAATAGCATAATTCAGCTCCCGAAGAATCAGTGGTTGACTACAGGAGGTGTTGCTCTTTTTTTTTTTTATTTTTTAAAGTATACTTAGCTTTTCAGAATGAATGCTTTTATTTTACATACTTGTGGCAATGCAACATTGGGGGCACTGCCAACAGTGGTTTGCATGCTAAGGAGGAGCAAGCTGTACCTTCCAGGCTGCTCCTCCAGGTGCAGCTGTAGAGTATTAGGCACAGCCAAGCCCCGGACAGTCCTGGGCTTCACCTCTGGACTCAGTGGCTCTGCGCCTTGTACTGTAGGCTGGAGCTATGGCAGAAGCATTAAATCTCAGAACATCAGAAGGATAGGAAAATCATTTATCTCAATCCTAAAAGCAAGGAAGCATTGTCAGGGATTTCAAAAATATTGGAAAGTCTCATTTAAATCTAAACATCTTTTATTTTATAAATCGATCATCATAAAATACTAGCCTTTTAACGTCATATTTGGGATGCAGGGAAAACATCAGTTTCACTTACCCTGCTTTTGCCTGTGTTGTTATCTTCACCACATCTCTGATTTTTCCTACCTCTCAGTGTCTCCCCAACCCTCCCCCAGCTTCTTTACAACATTTATTTGGTGGAGGTCAGTTATGGCTTCAGCGGATGAGTGGTCTGACCTCAAGTCATTAATAAGAAATAAACACGTACAAAAATATTTTGTTCATCAGAAAGCAGGGTTTGTTTTCCTTAAGCTATTCCATGCAGAATGGATTTGGACAGAGCCATTTGCTATGAGGAAAGACGACTTCACTTCGACAACAGTCTCTTTCTAAGCCTTCCTTTTTCATATTGTCTAGTTTAGACGGAGTTTGTAGGTCTTAGGCCAATCTTCAATACTGAATTCTTTGGAGCAGTTAATTGATAGCCCTGTCCCTTTCTAAGCTGTATTACAATAAGAAGCATATACTTAACACCGATGACCCGTCCAGATGCTTGAACCATTACAACCGTTTTCCATTTAAAAAAACTGAGAGGTACGTAACACTCAGGAAGAAAGCGAGGACATATTTTTATCTTTGTTGTTTACCCCCCTCTAAAAAATTGTTACAAAGTCTTAAGCTTAAACAGAGACATAGAAAAATCAGTGTATTCACCGTCTCTAGTTATTTACAGCAAAAATTACAGAGACAGCATACATTGTATTAGACCTTCCACAAGCATATATTAAAAGTAATTACATTTGAAAAAATATTTTTTATTTTTCCTCTACATTTCTACAATACATACTCATGTTCTCTATGGGTGTAGTTTTCATTCTTGGGTGCGTGTTAATGGGATGGAGCAAATGGTGCTGTGCTTGGGTGTGGGGCTTGTGGCTTTCTGACATTCCCCATGGGTGTCTATGTCTGACTGTGCTGGTGACATGGGGTTGTTCACCATTAGACACAGCCAGAGTGTAAGCGTTGTGAGCCTTATGCTGCCAACAGGGGTACAGATAACCTGCATTTCCCCTTGTTGGGCTTATTTAATTCCAGTAATCTTTGTGCTTTAGTTCTGGCCATGAGAACAACCACTGGCCTGGTTTCTCTGATCCACTGGAGGTTGTGCTTTGGTCATGCAGGAAGCAATGGTTGCTGTGACCAGTTCACCTCGGAGGAATTTCAGCAGCTTAGGAAAAAAGTGCACAGACAGACAGTCCCACCTGCTGCGTAGGAGCCCGTGACCTGCACTTCAGAACAAGGGGGCGAGGCTATCTCAATGACAGAATAAATTGCTGTGAAATGTATAGCTAAGAGAAACTGGGAAAGTGTCACAGATTTGAAGCCATACATTTAAGGGCACATGTACAGGCTCAAAAACATAAAAGTTATACATCTGACTTTCAGAAAAAAAAAAAAAAAAAAAAGGACAAGAAATCTAGTTCTCTTGGGCTCGTCCACAGTGGAGCTCGGCAGGACACATGGAAGTGTCTTTTGTAAGCCATCCTTCAACCGATTTGCCTTTATCTTTCAATTGCTATTTTGTTCAAGCCACCTGCTATTATATCCCTGCGTTGTGATGGGTAAATATTGAAACCAAATTGAGAATGAGAAGGGCATGATTTCTCCTCTCCCGCTCTGTACTAACGTCATCCTAATGTCATCTTCCTTTAAATCCAGCCTGACCGGCTCCAGCCGAATAGACCTCTAGATGTGATTTTTGATATCAACCCGAGGTGGCAAGCTGGCAGTCTGTGAACCTCTTCTGCTCAGAGATGTGTTTGTTTGGTCTTTACTATGCTCAGAGTCAACTGTCAGCATTTACAACCAAGACAGCTTACATAATTCAGAAGCACTGTCAGCATGCAACCTCAGCCGAATGGCGGCTGTCCTGTCATGGGCAGGGCATTTCCTTGCCAGCTTGCTACAACTGCATCACTATTTGCATCTGTTCCTTGCCATTCTGGGGGATGGGGGTGATGACTGAGCTTTTATCTGTTGATTTAAACAGGCAGGCACCTCTGGTTCTGAAACATATCCCTCTCTAAAAGAAAAAGGGTTATCAACCTGTTTCCAAAAGACCCTGTGGCTCCCCACACCAGGCCTTTCTTCTGGCTGCACATGTACCAGCAGATGTAAATAGAGCGTCAAACAGCTCTTCATCTTGGTGGCATTTCCCTCCTCTTTGTGAAGGGACTCTGCAGAAGTTTCCCTCAGATACATACTTAAGAGTTATCGCTACCTTTTAGTCCTTGTCAGAGCAGAGACATCTTTGCCTGAACCTACTACCCCTTGTGGTAATTTCATTAGAAACAAGAGTTAATACAGGAAAAAAGAGACCCAGAAAAAAACATGATTTGGACAGCAGCCAAAAATTTCCTGCTTCTGGAATAAAGAGAACCTAAGGATGTGGAACTACACTAGCATTACTTGTTTCTGGTGTCTTTGAAAAAAAAAAAGAAAACGAAAACAAACAAAAGAAAACAAAGGAATGAATGAACAACAACAGCAAAGGAAAAAAAAAAAGAACATTTTAGGCTGTCCTTGGATTCTAAGAGTTATCTTAGAATTTGAGCCCCGTATGTGCAGCATTATGGAGAGCCACTGGGAGGTGGCTGTGCCTTCTTCAAGGCTTCCTCCAAATAGTTCAGCTTGACTGCTGGGAAGTAACCTGCTTGGTAAGGCAGCCATGATGGAAATGCACTGATGTCCCCTGAAGCCTCTTGTTAATATCCAGTTGGGCATAGCCTAGAGTCTCTCAGCTGCTGCTAGAGGAATCTAATCACCTAAGACCACAGTATTCTCCGCTTTTTACTTAGAAGTCCTCTAGCCCAGAACCCTGAAGAAAGTATTCAGATAAAGAAAATGCAGAAAGTGTGTTTGGAAAGTATATCCTGACCTTCAGTGTCTAATCTGGGAATAAAAGATCCCCAGAAAAACTGACACAAAGATAGGCCAAGTCACAGACAGCATGGCCATTCGTAACTGTCAACCCAGATTTGAAATCTCTCATTTTCCCTCTAAAATCTGCCTTTTTTTCCCCTACAGAGTATAGATGCCCTAGAGTTGTCATTCACACAACCTGTCAACTCTGTCCTGTGACAGTTAGATCCTGCATTTCTTTTGCTAAGGGCTTACACAGGAAGCCTGGATTCATTGGGAGATAAACAGGACAGCCTGGATGGTTTGTTCTTTGCTCATTTTAGAGAATGAAACTAATCTTTTTTTTTTTTTACTTGTGCAGAACTTTTAGGCAGGTCCAAAGAAGAAATGTAATTCATTCATTTTCTGTCACGCTGTCACGGGGGCTGGTCTGAAGCCTGTTAGAGAGGGTCTCTCACTGGCATGTTTCATTTATGCCGCTTAGCTTGCATTGTCATCTTCCTGTTTATCCCTCCCACTTCTCGATGATTTTTTTTTTTTTTAAATGAAGCATCCCTGAGCAGATTCAGTGCAACATCTACATCAAGTCGTGATTGTCATCCTTGAGGCATGAAGGAGACTACAGACCCCAGCCCCTTCTTCCAGAGCGAGCCTCATGCTAGCACACTTTGAACATTGGCCAGTTCTCAGAAGGAACAGCATGCTGAGACTGTGTGTGGTAAAAGAGAGTTTTTCTTACTGAGATTTCATGTAGTCACTGAGCCGTTCAAAGGACAGTGTTTAAAGGCTTTCTTACCATTAAAAACATGACTTGATCCTCTTTTAAGGGAAAAGTTGGCAACTGCAGCCAAAACTGGAGCTCTCTCCTCTGGATGGAAAGCGGGCTGTGCCTGTACTGGTTACCACTGTTTGGTTCTGGTTCAGTTCCTAGCTCTGTTTCCTGTCCCTTTGCTTCAAAAGGTTCACGCTGTCCCAGTGAAATGCTAGCACTAGTGGAAATGACACAATTTCAAAACCAGTACCCCCTGAGGCAAATGTGGGGAATAATCTTTTCCTACACCACCCGTGGGGCAAAGGAGAAAAAAAATTCTCAGCTACTTCATCAATTGAGCCAATGTAAATCCTCTAAGGTAAACTGGAGGCAACAAATGATTCCCTTTGCAGCCCAGCGGGCTTTACAGGCTGACAATGGGAACCAGAACAATGAAAACAAAGATTGACATGAGTTCAAAGCTCAAAGGGGAACGCCAAGAAGACACAGTAAGCATTGCCTATCACAAGCCAATCATAAAACATACATCGCATTTGGAAGCAGCTTGGTTTAGTTGAGTGCCTTCCATTACCCTGTTTTCCTAGCAATCAGAAAAGTATCTTTCCATTAGAAGGAAATATGACTCTTGGAATTAATTCTTTATACAAAGAGCTAGCAGGAGTGACATTTACACCAGAAAGAACTAGGTCCCTGTAGCAGCATAATAAGCAGTCTACAGCTGTCTTCTCAGAACCAAAGGTAATTTGGTTCAATGTAGTTAAATTAATTGAATATAACAGTGGTTGAAAAAGAGATTCATTATTTTAAAGCCTTTTGTTTCCCCCCAATGGCTTGGAATTCATCAATCATGAGGTGAGCAAAAGCCCCTGTTTTTGGAAAGGAAAGATGAACAGCATTACTGTTTGGATTATCCTACAGAGTTCTGAGGCGTCTTGGAGATGACTCTCAGCCAGGAACTTCAGGAGAACATAAGAAATTAAAGACAAAACAAAACCAAAAAACAAAACCAAAAACAAAGCTTCTATTAGTGAAACACATGGTGTGTGTGTGTGTGTGTGTGTGTGTGTGTGTGTGTGTGTGTGTGTGAGCACAAGGAGAAAGGGCAGGTTTTTATAAGCTAGGGGCCATGCCACACTTACAGTACATCATGTCTTATACATGAGTGTGTCCCCTGGCTGTTTCTTCGAAAGTGTTACTTTGGACTAGATCGGATTAAAGGCCCAGGCCTTCCAGGGACTAGAAGAACAAATGGCTCATGCTTTTCTGATGGTTAATTTCATAGGAGCATGGGTGAAGACCCTGCATAGAGCATCCTTGCATTCTGTTCTTTTAAGTGGCTAAAAAATAACCAGTATGTCTGGACAGAGGATGGCATTTACATCTGTGTAGGAAAGAATTTCGGCCTTGGGATATATATATATATTATTTTTTTCTTTTCTAATCTTTTGAATTTTTGCTCTATTTTATAATACAGCATTTTTGTCTAATATTTTGAATTTTTGCTCTATTTTATAATACAGCATTTTGAAGTTGAAAAAATTGGAGGTCCTAGGCTCTAGACTGCTTACTCTTTTTTATTGACGTGCTTTCTAACAAATTATAATGAGTATGAATTGAATGAATTACTTCTTTACTTTGTATGTTCTATTTCTTTCTGTTCTTTGGGGGGAAATGGTTAGAAAATGACTACACAAAATAGCACTGGGGCCTTGTTTTACACTTCTAGTCAAATGTTTCTAAAAACATTGATGGTGGTCATGGTTCTTAGACTGAGTTTTTCTCTTTTGCTAAAGAAATAATAAGCATCAAAGTTAAGTTTCTTTCACAATTTGAAATCTAAATCCAAATGGGGGAAAACCTAATATTTTGCATTGTAGTAAAAAAAATATTATTGTCTGGTTTACAGCCTGATTTATGGAACAGGAAAATGGCTTCAAATCCCATCCCCCCACCATGTGCTGTCTTGTCAGGGCTTTCAAGTCATTGGTAGAGGTGGAGCTTTGAGAAAGCTGCTCTATGTCACACCGATACCTTTGTAGACTTGCTTCTGAATGGGGACTATCCTGTTGTTATGTATGGGCAGAAAACTCTGGCTGGAAAAGAAAACCCTGATTATCTAACATAAAAGTAATGTATAACAGAAAGTAGTAAATCACATGAGAAAACCTGACTGAACCTCCATTGCTAGTGGGCATGGTATTTGAAGCCACAGTGCATGAATACGTAATAGTCATATATAATACTCTTCCATATTATATATTCATTACATACATGCACAGTACTTTCCAAGACAGTTACGAATTTCCACATGCATCAACTATCTAAAAACATAGAAATAGGTAAGCCTAGTAAGTGGAATTTCCTTAAATTATATTTGAACAATCAACAGGAAAAGTAACCATGTAAAGTACGGCTCTGTTCTTGTATATATCTACAATAAAATTCTATAAACGGTTGTCTCCAAAACATACCCGAATAAAATTAAAAAAGATAACACCCAGTGTCCTATATTTGTATATTTATGATCATTTCAAAAACAAACAAACAAACAAACAAAAGAGCCCCACTCAGGTGCATATTTACATTCTTCAAACTGTAGCGGTGAAAAATAATTCTATTAAGTGCAGGACATTCCTAATGTTGCAGTAGTGACATTTTCCTTAAGTCTCCATGAACACATTGCTTTTGTCTTAGCGGCGATGCATTCCGTGACTGAGAGTTCTCATCCCCTTCATTTGCAGACCGCAGCACAGTCAGGATTAAAGAGCTCCTTGTACAATGGAGGAAACAGTGTATTCACTATGTCTGGATGAGATTGCTTAAATACCTGCAGCTTCTCCCCATGCAAGTTGCAGACTGCCGTGATAGTTGGTATCTTGGCTATTAACTGCAGAACACAGAGACAGAGGGAGACAAAGAGGGAAGCTCGTTAGTGGACTCTTTTGTGAATTAGTGTCTTTGGGGGACCTGGGTAAAGGTAAATGGCTTTGGAAAAAGATGTTCAGAAAGAGAGAAGGCTCACTTTCAGCTTCCCTTGAAAAGAAAACAAAAACATTCCTCATCCCATGGTCTAAAGAAAAAAAAAAAAAAACCAAGAGCAAGCAAGCAAGCAAAGAAGGAAGGAGGGCTAAGCCTCCTGGTTCATTGTTCCGAAATAAAATATGCACAGGAGGCCTTCTTGTTTAGTATATGTGACTGGGTGCTGAGCAGGCCAGCCATCTGAATAGGAATCCTGCTTCCTAACCGTGGAGGACAGTGGGACTCTGAGGCACTTTCTGTCTCAGTCTGTTCACTTGTAAAATGGGCTTGTTAAGCCTATCTTTCTCTTTGAGTTACGTGGCTAGCGTAAGGAAATCGATATGAAAGTGTTCTGAAATCTGCAGGTAGGAAATGTAGTTGTTAACTAATGATTATCCGTCATTTCCTGCAGACTCCTGGGACATGCATATTACATTGCTAAGCTTTGCAGGATGATAGTATTAGGAAAGTAAAAGAAAGCAGTATGAGGTTATGACAAAGGCGGAGGAGACTGGGGAGGAAGGGATGGGGACCAGCAGGAGAGGAGCTGGGGGGGGGTGGTTGATAGAGAAGGCAGTGGGCACGGATATGAATGGGATACATGCTATGCTAGGCGTGAAGGTGGCATAATGAAGTTTATTATTTTGTACACTGATTAAAAAAATCTGTTGGAGGTGTGATCCACGATGCTCCCTCCATAGGACTCGGAAGTCCAGCTCACCAAATTCACCTGCTCCTCCCTAATCTTTTTTTCACTACAATGCAGAAAATGAAGTGTTTCCTTAAGAAAGCCTGAGAGGTACTGGCTTCGAATGTCCTTGGGGAAGCATTTCACAAACAAGTAAAAGACTTGCATATAATCACCAGGCTTTGATTAAGTACCCTCTCCCTTCCTCCCGCTCCTCTTCCTTCTTTTTCTTTGCTAAAGATGGAACCAGACCCTTGGACATGCCAGGTGGCTGCTCTTCCATGGAGCTGTGTCTACAGCCAACATGAATATGTGTATATCAAATCATTACATTACATACAACCGTAACTACATACTAAATTGTATTTCTTTGAGTTAAAGCAGGAAAACAATGTTTGTAATAATTTAAATGATCCCCATTGTGCTGCATGCTATAAAGATCTTAGGAGATGAACATTTCTGATGTCACACATGCTTGCAACCATCCTTTAGTATCCGATTAGCTTAAGCATGTGTTCATGCGGCATTATAACTGTCGGTATTGCGATAGACTCTCCTACAGGGAATGCTCTTACTAAAGGCAAGTGTGGTGGTTTACACAGCTGTTTGAAGATGGACTGCAAAGTGATGATGACAAAACACAATTAAGCAAACCCAGGTGATGTCCTGGTCAGCTCCCCCTCTCACCAAGAAGAATGCATTTCAGCCTTTGAATTTGAACGGCAAACAGATAATTACCCTGTGGTTCTTCAAAATCAGAATTTCCCCCCTTCCACTAACTTTCCTTGTAACCACTAATTATTCTGTAAGGGTGCTATGAGAAATGTAAAACCAGCTTTAGGAGTAGAGCTGCTGACACACTAAAGGGATCTAGACACATCTTTATGATGTGAGGCTTCAAACATTCAAAGATGTTTGAGGCTTCTGGCTCTGCATCCTAGCCATCTCTGCTGCTGTCTGAAGAAAGGCTAGGAAAGAAAAAAGGTAGCTTTGTTGTCCATGTCAGACTTCAGACTGAGAATCAAGACTTTATCTTCAACAGTATGAACGACATTTCTTTCAGTCAAGACACTTTACAACAATTAACTGCATGCTTATTTAATATCAAGACACCGGAAGGCACAAAATTGTTCCGGATTTTGCCCATAGAGTACTTGCTAAGGCAATTAGAGATTAAGTTACCACACTGATTAACTCAGAGAGAAAAGCTGTGGTCAGAGTGATGGGTGGTAGCCAAGAAGTGGTAGATCCCAAGATATCCTAACTTCTTGTAACAAGCCTTCCCTAAGATTGTGACAGCAACTCTGAGCAGGGAAGAAAGAAAGAGAACTGTGCAGCCACTTGGGTAAAGAAACCTCACATACCTAGGATCGGGGGCAAAGATGCTGTGTATGTAATGTTCCGAAGGCAGCTTAGGCTGACTAAGGCAGTAATTGAGCTTAGGTTTGGGGTTGATGACGATAGAGAGGTGTGCACAGCCAGAATATGGCAGCTCTTACGGTCTATGTCCCAGGTGACCAGAACACCATTCTGAAAGACTCACTTTGAGTCTGGTGTAGAAAAGTGTCTTTTGTATATCTTTATATGTAAACAGTTTAAAAAGTGTCCACTTAACTGGAGCCCTTGGGAAATTATTGAGGTTTTCTTAACCAGCTGCCTCACACAGAAGGAAACAGCAACAATTTAGAAACACTTCTTGCACATTACAGTGCTCCCTGAAATAGCTATTGAATGCGGAGGAGCTCTGAAAACCTCCCATAATCATCGGCTGTTGGATTGATGATCCGAAATGCTGCCGAAACTTCCAGATGCAACTGTGAAATGACTGCCAATCTTTAGCGTGATAAGAATCACTGGAGGGCTTCTTCAAAGTGCAGATAACCAGGACCCTCTCCCAGGGATTCAGTTCCAGTGTGTCAGATTCCATGCTTGAAGTAAACATCCCCTGTGAACACTCATGTCATGAGCCGGTGGAATAGGCTCTGAGAAACGGTGCCTTGGAGGCTCAGATTTGTGGGGGGAAAAACTTTCAAATTTGACAAGTAAATTCTGTATTCTCTCTGAATTGGTCCTATTCCCTGAGTGTCGAGTAGGTTCTTTCAGGTGACAAAGACATTTTCATGTCTACAGAGAGAGAGCTGTATATGTTCCTTCTATTATATGATGAGGGACAAGTTGGGAGTTCTTGGTGACATACAGGCATTACATAGAGAGAATAATGGATATAGGGCTTTGGGATCAGGCTGTCTGTGCTGAGATCCTAGTACTGCCAAAATACTCAGTCTTGGCCAAGCCACTTAACTCAGCTTCCTTATGAGCCAGATGTTGTGTTAGGGTTTCTATTGCTGTGATAAAACACCACAACCAGAGGAATCTTGGGAAAGAAAGGGTTTATTCCATTTACAGCTTACTATTCCATCACTGAGGGAAGCCAGGTCAGGAACTCAAGTCAAAAACCTGGAGACAGAAGCAGACTTCTGAGCCATGGAGAAGTGCTGCTTACTGGTTTGCTCCTCATGGCTTACTCAGCCTGCTTTATGACACCATCCAAGACCACCCACTCCTTGTCAGATTGGCCCACCCACGTCAATCATCAATCAAGAAAATGTTCCACAGGCTTGGTCATAGGCCAATCTGGAGGGGACATTTTCTCAATTGAGGTTCCTTCTTCCAAAATGACTCTAGTCTGTGTCAAGCTGACATAAAAACTAGCCAGCACAGATGGTGGCTATAACATTTCCTGTTTCAGAGGGAGGCTGGGAGGATTTAATGAGTCAATACTCATGGTTTTATAGTGCTGCCTGCTGTCTGCTGACGACACACACGATGGCTATTGTATTAGTTACTTTCTAGTCATTGCAACCAAAATATGAGAGGACAACGTCACGGTCATGTGCAGGGTTTTCATTTTGGGTCCCAGTTTCAGAAGCATCAGTTTATCCTGGCACTGAGGAAGTGGTGGGATAGAGGGGATTTTATCAAGGCAGGCACCTAGCAGATTTTGTGTATGGAGGGGCGTATTACAGTGCAGCTGGCTTTCCTTTATTTTGACTGGACCATCAGCCCCTGGGCTCTTTCTTCTTTGCAGGTTCCCCTGTGATGGTTCAAATGAACGGCCCCTAAAGGGTCAGATATTTGAATGCTTATTCTCTGGTTGGTAGAACTCTTTGGGGAAGGATTAGGGGGTGTGGTCTTGTTGGAAGAGGTGTGTCACTGGGGGTCAGCTTTGTGGTTTCAAAAGCCCATGCTGGGCCCCAGCTTCCTTCTTTGCCTCCAATTTTAGATATAGATGTAAACTCTCAGCTGCTGCTCCAGAGCCATGCCTGCCTGTCAGCTGCCAGACTCACTTCCTGCCATGATGGTCATGGACTCACTCTCTGAAACTGTAGGCAAGCCCCAGTCAAATACTTTATAAGTTTGCCTTGGTCCCGGTGTCTGTTAATAGCAATAGAAAAGTAACTAAGACATTCCCAGCAGATTCAGGATGGCTATTTCTCCCTCAGTTAGTCCTCTCTGGAAATGCCCTCCCAGATGTAGTGTGGTGATTCTTAATCCAATCAAGCAGACAGTGAAAGTTAAGCTGTGATGTTTCCAGCTCCACTTACCATTTCCTTCAAGGAGTGAAAGGGGGAGGCCATGCTCGTCAGTCATAGGATGCTAACAGCAGCAGAGACCCAATTTAATCTTAGGCTAAGCACCCAAGTCTGAGTCTGAGCACATTATGTGTTATTTCATAGGAAAATTAGTCATTTGCTTTTATTGGAATGAGTGTGCAAAATCACGACTATTTTTCATTTTTTTGTGGCAATAAATTTATTCATTGACTGATTATAGACTAGATCCTAGTAGCATGGTTCTTCCTGCCTTTGCTACTTCTCTTATGGGTGGATCATATGGGAAATTGAAAACACAAGAGTGAGACTGGACCCTTGATGGCTTCTCATTTGACTAGAGGTAGGGAACTGTATGTCTGTTTTTGGAAAGCGAATGTTTACTTTTGTCTCTTTCTGATAAAAATTCACTTCTCCTCAGAGCCTGGCTCATATTCACTTCTGTCTCTTGTATGGGATTTAAATCCATTTGCTATTGTTTGTCTGTAGAATGGGCTGAATAGCTAACAAACTCTGTCAGCAAATGACACTGAGAAAGCGAGAGAGCTGTGGCAAACTCTATCGTCTCAG